TTCATGTCTTCATACATGTACTTTGGATAATGATGCCTATCACATTCCACCATCATTGCTACCCCCCCTGCCCCCTCCCTTCCCCTCCCACCCCTCTGCCCTACCTAGAGTTCATCTATTCCTCCCATGCTCCCCCGCCCCCATTATCGGTCAGTCACCTTATATCAGAGAAAACATTTGGCGTTTGTTTTTGGGGGATTGGCTAACTTCATTTAGCATTATTTTCTCCAATGCCATCCATTTACCTGCAAATGCCATGACTCTTTCTATTCAACTACAGGGGGTGTAGTTTATTTACAAATAAAGCCTACTGTCTCTCACTTCTTCCCATATTCATACAGAGGACACCTTAAAAACATCAAAATGCAGACCACAAGGGACAAGCAGTAGCTCATTGGTTGTGGTCATTGCCCAAATCATCTGGGATAATCATGTGACTGGCTGAACTTTTCTCCTTTCAAAATGGAGATGAAATCAAACCTAAGAATTCAGGTCAGACAATCTAACATAAACATCTTTTTTTTTTTTTAAATTTTTTATTGTTGGTTGTTCAAAACATTACAAATTTCTTGACATGTCATATTCCACACTTTGATTCAAGTGGGTTATGAACTCCCACCTTCACCCCATACACAGATTGCAGAATCACATCAGTTACACATCCATTGATTTACATATTGCCATACTAGTGTCTGTTGTGCTCCGCTGCCTTTCCCATCCTCCACCCTCCCCCCTCCCCACCTCTCCCCTCCCCTCCCCTCCTCTCTCTCTACCCCCTCCACTGTATAACCCTGAGGGTCTCCTTCCATTTCCATGCAATTTCCCTTCTCTCTCCATTTCCCTCCCACCTCTCATCCCTGTTAAATGTTAATCTTCTTCTCCTGCTCTTCGTCCCTACTCTGATCTTAGTTACTCTCCTTATATCAAAGAAGACATTTGGCATTTGTTTTTTAGGGATTGGCTAGCTTCACTTAGCAAAATCTGCTCTAATGCCATCCATTTCCCTGCAAATTCTATGATTTTGTCATTTTTTAATGCAGAGTAATACTCCATTGTGTATAAATGCCACATTTTTTTTATCCATTCGTCTATTGAAGGACATCTAGGTTGGTTCCACAGTCTTGCTATTGTGAATTGTGCTGCTATGAACATCGATGTAGCAGTGTCCCTGTAGCATGCTCTTTTTAGGTCTTTAGGGAATAGACCAAGAAGGGGAATAGCTGGGTCAAATGGTGGCTCCATTCCCAGCTTTCCAAGAAATCTCCATACTGCTTTCCAAATTGGCTGCACCAATCTGCAGTCCCACCAGCAATGTACAAGTGTACCCTTTTCCCCACATCCTCGCCAGCACTTGTTGTTGTTTGACTTCCTAATGGCTGCCAATCTTACTGGAGTGAGATGGTATCTTAGGGTGGTTTTGATTTGCATTTCTCTGACAGCTAGAGATGTTGAGCATTTTTTCATGTACTTGTTGATTGACTGTATGTCCTCCTCTGAGAAGTGTCTGTTCAGGTCCTTGGCCCATTTATTGATTGGGTTGTTTGTTCTCTTATTGTCTAATTTTTTGAGTTCTTTGTATACTCTGGATATTAGGGCTCTATCTGAAGTGTGAGGAGTAAAGATTTGTTCCCAGGATGTAGGCTCCCTATTTACCTCTCTTATTGTTTCTTTTGCTGAGAAAAAACTTTTTAGTTTGAGTAAGTCCCATTTGTTGATTCTAGTTATTAACTTTTGTGCTATGGGTGTCCTATTGAGGAATTTGGAGCCCGACCCCACCGAATGTAGATCGTAGCCAACTTTTTCTTCTATCAGACGGCGTGTCTCTGATTTGATATCAAGCTCCTTGATCCATTTTGAATTCACTTTTGTGCATGGCGAGAGAAAGGGATTCAGTTTCATTTTGTTGCATATGGATTTCCAGTTTTCCCAGCACCATTTGTTGAAGATGCTATCCTTCCTCCATTGCATGCTTTTAGCCCCTTTATCAAATATAAGATAGTTGTAGTTTTGTGGATTGGTTTCTGTGTCCTCTATTCTGTACCATTGGTCCACCCGCCTGTTTTGGTACCAGTACCATGCTGTTTTTGTTACTATTGCTCTGTAGTATAGTTTGAAGTCTGGTATCGCTATACCGCCTGATTCACACTTCCTGCTTAGCATTGTTTTTGCTATTCTGGGTCTTTTATTTTTCCATATGAATTTCATGATTGCTTTCTCTATTTCTACAAGAAATGCCGTTGGGATTTTGATTGGCATTGCATTAAACCTATAGAGAACTTTTGGTAATATCGCCATTTTGATGATGTTAGTTCTGCCTATCCATGAACAGGGTATATTTTTCCATCTTCTAAGATCTTCTTCTATTTCTCTCTTTAGGGTTCTGTAGTTTTCATTGTATAAGTCTTTCACCTCTTTTGTTAGGTTGATTCCCAAGTATTTTATTTTTTTTGAAGATATTGTGAATGGAGTGGTTGTCCTCATTTCCATTTCAGAGGATTTGTCGCTGATATACAGGAATGCCTTTGATTTATGCGTGTTGATTTTATATCCTGCCACTTTGCTGAATTCATTTATTAGCTCTAATAGTTTCTTTGTAGACCCTTTTGGGTCTGCTAGGTATAGAATCATGTCATCTGCAAATAGTGATAATTTAAGTTCTTCTTTTCCTATTTTGATGCCTTTAATTTCTTTCGTCTGTCTAATTGCTCTGGCCAGTGTTTCGAGAACTATGTTGAACAGAAGTGGTGAGAGAGGGCATCCCTGTCTTGTTCCAGATTTTAGAGGGAATGCCTTCGATTTTTCTCCATTCAGAATGATGCTAGCCTGAGGCTTAGCATAGATTGCTTTTACAATATTGAGGTATGTTCCTGTTATCCCTAGTTTTTCTAGAGTTTTGAACATAAAGGGATGCTGTACTTTGTCGAATGCTTTTTCCGCATCTATCGAGATGATCATATGGTTCTTATTTTTAAGTCTATTGATGTGGTGAATAACATTTATTGATTTCCGTATATTGAACCAGCCTTGCATCCCAGGGATGAATCCTACTTGATCATGGTGTACAATTTTTTTGATATGTTTTTGTATCCGATTCGCCAGAATTTTATTGAGGATTTTTGCATCTAGGTTCATTAGAGATATTGGTCTGTAGTTTTCTTTCTTTGAAGTGTCTTTGTCTGGTTTAGGTATCAGGGTGATAACATAAACATCTTAAAGACAGGAAGTCTAACACATTGCAAAGATATTAGTGTGGGTTCTTCCTTCTGATATTATGATAACAACAACAAAAAGGCTTTATTTTTTTTAAGTTAAAGAATAAAATGTTGTAAAATCTTCCCAATAACCCAGTGAAGTACTTATAATTATTGCTTCTTTTTGCAGATGAAGAAATTGATACTTGAAGAGGTTAAATGGCTAAATCAAGGTTCATAGGCAGGAAGCACATAGTAAGTAGAGTCAGGACTTGAGTTCAGGTCCTCTGACTCTTGGGTCTATTTTTATTTCACCACACAAACCATCATAACTTCCTGTAACTGTATTTTTTTTTCTTTTCCTCTATTTTTTTCTCTTGTGTGATTGATCCCAGGGTCTTGCACATGCTAAGCAAATGCGCTACCACTGAGCTACACCCAACCTTTTTACAATTTTTTTATTTTGAAACAGAGCCTTTCTAAATTGCCCAGGTTGGCCTTGAACTTGCAGGTCTGCCTCAGCCTCTGAGTAACTGGGATTACAGGCATGTACCACTGCTCCCAAGGTTTTTTTGTTTGTTTGGTTGGCTTTTTTTAAGACTTTTGTTGGCAAGTTAATTGTCAATGTTCTCTAAGCTCCTATTACGTAGGAATTGGCTTATTAGTAATTTAAATTATGCTATAAAGTAATCCAACTCCTACTCTATTGCTTTAAGCCATCTGTTTTGTGATGATCAGAGTTTTAGCCTAATGGGGACAAATTGAATCAGAGTTTGTTTTGTTTTGTTTAATGTTAGCTTAATACTGGATATTACTGGGAAGCATTTGTTCCAAACTTCAACTGGGTCACCTGCCTCATTTGTGTGCAGGGCAGACACCTGCAAAGTTTGTCTTTCCAGGATCTTTGTCTGTGAGAAAACAGAGAATGTGCAACTGACAACCTGTCTTCCCACTGTGCTCCATGGGCCAAGCCAGGAATAACAGAGGAGCAAGAAAAACGTTGCCAGAAATGCATTTATACTTTAACCAATTTGCCTGGGTCCTGTTTCTTTTCTTACATAACAGTCCGTAATAGTTTTATTAAATTGTCCAAATCCACAGAAGAACGTTTAAAAAATAATCATAATAAGGGGAAGAGAAGGAAGAAGTACTTATAATTAATATACTGTCTTCACACACTCTAAAGCCTTTGTAGAAATAGGCTCTTCAACCCTGAGCCTGGAATCTCCTGGTCACAGGTTCTGCTGAGTCAGGACAGGCCACATACCACTTCTACCCTCTTACTTTTTCTGATATACCACTTTACTTAGGCAAACCATTCATTGGTCTCTCCAGAGTGAATACTCTAAACAATAATTCATCTTTATTCATTTAAAATACAATTCTGTAGCTTATGTCTTTTTGTCTTCTCTAGTACTGGGGATTGACGGGGAGAGGGGTGTTCTCTACCACTGAACTATGTCCCCAGTCCCTTTTATTTTTTATTTTGAAACTGGGTCTCACTAAGTTGCTGAGGCAGACCTCAAACTTGTCATCCTCCTGCCTCAGCCTCCTGAGTCCTGGGATTACAGGTTTGTACCACTAACACTGAGCAAATTTATGTCTTTATTCTTTGAAACTAAATTGACTTCTAGAATCAAGAAAATAAAGCTACCCAAATCCATTTGGCCATATGTGAAAGGATATTAATAAACTTGAGCTCTATCTGGCCAGAGCTATTTCTACCACATTCCTGCATGTGACACGAGAGTCTGAAATTTCTTAGCATGATTCCATTCATGTTGTTTCTTGAGAGCCTTTAGCAAAATGTTTAAACATGCCAGAAAAGCTTTATTTATTTTTTCACACAATAGAGGAGATTAACTTCAGCAATCACAATTCCCATTTTCTACAGAAGTCTGGAAGATAATGCCCAGAGCAGGACAATGGGTGCCAGGGTATCTGGAAAGAAAATACAAATTGGTTCAGTCATGAAGCAATTGTCAAACCAAACGTGAGTCGATCTCAAACATGTCTCTGACTTGCATTTTGCAGTCCCCAGTTTGTGCATTTACTATGAGGACAATTGGGTAGTTATGATGAAAGAATTCACTTTTCTAAAGGGATGGTTTTCCAAAGTAATTGGTTTTTAAAGGGGAAGGTAGTCAAAACCACAGGTCATTAGTGATCAATTCCCATACAGTTTCTTGGGTCCTTAAGGGTGAGCAGAAGCGTTGTTTGGAGCAGGAAGGGGCATTGCAGAGGGTAGGAGAGCTGTTTCAGTTCTTTCTAAAATTAGCCCTATTTCCTGTCTCCAGTCTTTGTTCCCATTATTAGTTTTCTCTGTTGAGAACCAAAAAGCAAAACATACACAGCCCCTGGACTTGCCACATTTATATGACTTATAAGAACATGACCCTAAACATGAAAAAATTCTTACCTTTCCTCCAGAAAGTGTTTATAAAAAAGTCACGGAACTTGCCTCATATTGAGTGAAAAGAAGAAACATTTCCTCTCCAGCAAGCAGTACCTTTTGACTTACAGAGGCTTCAGGAATTAAAATTCAGATGAGCACAAAAGATATCCCCCACTGCTGCTGATGCCAGCACCTTTGGCCAGACCAGAGCTTCCTGGGGGTATGTCTTTCATTGGCAGCATAAGTTTCAATGGGAGTTGGCAGGCAACAGCTATTTGAGTATCTAAATCTAAAGAGCATTGAGTCACAAGTTGGAATTCATAAGGCACGTTGGTATTATTCTTGCTTTCAAAGCAGATTATAGGATCAAAGATTAAGAACATAATTTTCCTAACTCCTGGCCATAAGAGAACTTCAATAATTAAACTCCACATTAGAAATCAAGTGTAGAGAATGGAGATATTATTCTCTCAGAATGGAATCTTTAGGAAGAAAAATATACATGATCATTTGGGAGGAAAGAAATTGTATATTGTTTATCATGCTTAGGTCTAATATGGTGGTTTAAATTGTTATCGATGCTGTTATGACTCCTTAATCATTACATTTGATGATAGGGACATAGAATTATTAATAGTTTGGGAATTTTAAAATATATCATTCGAAGTGACCCAAGGTTCAAAAGTTTGGTCACATGGAATAGTGCCTAAATAGTCCTTAGAAATAATACTTCATACTACTGTGTACCTCCTTATTTTATAGCTCTTAAATTAGCAATTCCAGAAGATTACCTAGAAAATTATTCAGAATTCACACACCTAAAAATAGAAGTTATATTTAAGATGCGCCATCTGCCTCATCAAGTACCTTAATGTTAGAAGTTGAATCATCTTCAAATTATGATTAAATTGAGTGCAGATAATATAATGAATAACTCAGTAGCCCAATATTTAAATAAAATCTGGGAAATTACTTATTCTCTCTCACTTTTCATCTGTAAAATATAAAGAATACATACACCTGCTATCTTAGAAAATTGGTATTACATTTGAAAAGGTTTCCCTGAATATTATTGTAGTACTAATAGTAAAAACATTTATTTAGCTCCTTGTGTCTGGGACTCTGTCATTTTCATGAAATGCAAAATTAAGTAAGACATGGATCTCTGCCTTTAAAAAAGTCACCATCAGGTGACAAAAGCAAATCATATGCAATTCTAGACAATCAATTAAGATATAATGTAGTAAATGTTATAATGAGGTTACATACAAGATACTGTGGAAATTATCAGAATTCCACCCTAGAATCTTAATATGGGATTCAGAAATTAGTCATTTGACATGAAAATCTGGTCAATCATTTGCTCAGGATTTTAACCTGGCTCCTAAGTTTCTTGCTTAGATTCTGCAGTAGAGACTAGCTGTATAAATTTTGAATCTCTAATATTTAATGCACTAATAGCTAAGATTGTAATGTCATCTTGACAAACTGACCCCATTATCACTGGCCCTCTTTATCTCTGGTAATATCTTTGCCACTCTGATACAGTCTCTCTAGCTTTCTGTTGATTTATGTTAGTGTGGCATGTTTTCCCTATCTTTTTACTTTTAGCCAGTTTACATCTTTATATTAAAGTGGATTTTTTTGTGCACAGAACATAATTAAATTTTGCTTTTTAATCCAATCTGGAAACCTACATTTTAATTGGCATGTTTACGCCATTTACAATCAATGCAGTTATTCACATGGTTGGATTTAAATCTACCAGCTTGCTATTTGCATTCTTATCATCCTGTTGATTTCCACTGATTTGTGAAGAAAGGATTCCACCCCTCATCTATGGATTGACCAAACACCTGGCACCCAAGACTGACAGCAGCAGTGTCAGTCTGGGGGAGGAGAAACTGCCCCATATGGGGCTGGACCTGGGTAAAGAAGCAGGGCCAGGGGAGGGCGGGCTTTGTAGTGCAGGAGGCAGGGTGAGCCCTGGTTTCTATGGAAGGATACGATTGGTTTGTTCTAATAATTCTGTGGGCTTCCAGAAAACAGACACTGAGCCTACCCCCAAGATAACAAGAGGGTTATTCAGCTGAGAGACCTTATCCATAAGAGCAGAGTGGGTAGCACAATATGGTCAGGTCATTAGAGAACCCCCTGGTTTTAGATAGCACATAGCTAGGCCGTAACAGAGTTTATATAAACACACACCAATTTGGACAAAGACTCATCTCCTGTAACTTGTAGGCTATTCCTAAAATCCATTACCTTTTGACCCTGCTCTTAAGTCAAACTTTTTTTTAAAGTTCTTTCAAAACTGGAAACAGAATTAGGAATGCTGAAAGCATTGTTGGGACAGTTCCCAGGCATGTTGCCTTGTTCAGAAACTGGAAAGATGAGGAGTCTTCTCAGCTGCCTAGGGCTTGTGGCTGCCCTGTCTCCAGGCCAGGGTTCTTGGGACCATTCAGACCTGTGCCTGGCCCTCCTGGCAGCCCCCCATGATGTGCTGGCCCAGCACATTTACTGACCTAAGGAAACCATCATTTGGCTTTGTCAGTCATTCTAATTTAGAAAAATAGAAGCCAAATGACCACACTTGATGAAAATACAGATCTACAATGAAATAAGGAATCTATATCTGTTTATGAAAAACACTTTTGGGAGGATGAATTGAAAACAGTTATAACTAGAGATATACACAAAAACAGATACATGATGTTCTATGTTGTAGTAAAACTGGTATTAAAATATCTGCTGTATTTACACACTCTTAATAAAAATAAAATGATATAATTAAACGAATATCTTTTGTTGTGCTTTTACATGCGGTGATAGTCTTTATTAAAATGTTTTAAATGCTTAATGATGACATTTCAAATATACAGCAAAATACCAAAAATATTAACTGATATTCATGTACTGGTTATTACCATATTAACAGATGTCAACATTTAGCTTTATTTGCTGTAAAGTCAAGTTTGTCTCTTTTACTAAACAACAAATGGAAAGCATTCAGGATAAATACAATACACCCATCCGATCCCCTATCTCATTCTCCAGAGGTAACCTCTAGCCTAAGGTTAGTGTGCTTCTTTTCATGTATGTATGTTCAAACTTTTATTATATGTTACAAGTATATCCATAGGTGATAAACACCCTAGTTTTATGTGCTTTAAATATTTATATAAATATTAGGAAACGTGGTGCATTTTCTTTTGTAAATGCTTTTCTGAACAACATTTTAAGGGGCTGAGAATGTGGTTCACTGGTATAGCATTTTCCTAGCATATATGAGGCCCTGGGTTCTATCCCCAGCAACACACACACACACACATACACACACTTACAAAAAAAAAAAGCTACACTATTCTAAACATACTATCCTCAGTCCTCAACTTCTCCCTTTCTACTGGCTCCTTCCGTCCATCTTTCCACATACTCTTTCATCTTGAACTAACAAACAACAAAGACCTTCAATTGACGACCTTCCCTCTAAATTCTGTCCTATCTCTCTCATCCTTCAGAGGCATTCTTCTTTCTTTGAACCTAATTTTAAAATTGTACTCTAGACACAACACTGTTATTTAAAATTTCATAGTGAATATATATATTACATTTATATCCTAAAAAATTGTGAATTTGTGTCTCCCCAAAGAGATACATCTGAGCCCTAACTCCCCTCCCCATATCTTTAAATGTGATCCTATGTGACAAAATGAAATCAGATTCAAATTAAGTCATTAGGATGCTCCCTAATCCAATATAACTGTTGTCTGTATACGAGGGGAAGTAATGGCACAGAATGCTGTGTGAAGAAGGAAGCAAAGATTGGGGTAGGACTTCCATAAGCCAAGATACACCAAAAATTCACAGAAAACCAGTAGAAGCTGGGGGAGGCATTGAGCTAATGTCTCAGAAAGAACCATCTGTTTACTTGACCTCAGACTCCCCCAGTATGTTTTGTTACTTGAACCAATTAATTTTCAGTTCTTTGTCATAGCAACCTACAACACAGATATCGCCTCTATCTCCATTACCAGATTCTGGTGGCGCCATCCCCTGTCTACTCCTTTGCCACGTCCCCTCGCACTCACTCCTCACCTCATTGATAACTGACTTCCATGCCCAGCATCCTCATCAAAGCCACCAACGCCAATCCCAGGAGGACATCCCTCCAACTTCTTTGTAACATTTTATATTCTTTCTTCTTGCAAAACCACTATCTTTTCTTGACCCCCGGCACAGAGAGCCTGAACTTTTCTCCTACTTCTCTGTTTCCCTTAGTATCCTTGGGATCTTTTTTCCACTGTTCTTTAAATGGAAGTGTCCTCAGGGTTCTATCCAAGCCCTCTTATCATCATAGCCTCTCTCAGAGGAATGTTTTCCATTTCTAATGACCCTGAGTATCATCTGTAATTGGAATCTCAACTTCAGACCAATCTCCCAACTTTCAATCCCCATCATGATCAGAGATAGAGGGAAAGGAAATTTCCTGGGGGGAAATTAGGGTTCTCTCAACAGGTCTAAATAGCAAGAATCACAAACTTCA